TGTTCAGCTTTATAGCAAAAGCCTGACGATTTTGTGCCAATATGGATTGGTATTTGGAACTGTTCATAATTCCCTCTACCTTGACTAAGGCCCCAGTTCCAGCTGAAGAAAAACGGCTCCAAAGCATAATGCTGCCGCCACCACCATGCTTCATTGTGGGTATGGTGTTCTTTTGGTGACGTACAGTTCTTTTGCGCCAAACATATCTTTTGGAATTGTGGCCAAAAAGTTCAACCTTGGTTTCATCAGACCATAACACATTTTGCCCATATGCTTTTGGGACACGTCAGATGTGTTTTTGCAAAATTTAGCCAGGCTTGGATGTTTTTCTTCGTAAGAAAAGGCTTCCATCTTGCCACTCTACCCCATAGCCCAGACATATGAAGAATACGGGAGATTGTTGTCACCTCTACCACACAGCCAGTATTTGCCAGATATTTCTGCAGCTCCTTTAATGTTGCTGTGGGCCTCTTGGCAGCCTCCCAGACCACTTTTCTTCTCGTCTTTTCATCAACTTTAGAGGGACGTCCAGTTCTTGGTAATGTCACTGTTGTGCCATATTTTCTCCACTTGATGATGAGTGTCTTCACTGTGTTCCATGGTATATCTAATGCATTGGAAATTCTGTTGTACCCTTCTCCAGTCAGATACCTTTTAGCAATGAGATCCCTCTGATTCTTTGGAAGCTCTCTGTGGACCATGGCTTTTGCTGTAGGATGTGACTAAGAAAATGTCAGGAAAGACCTACTAGAACAGCTAAACTTTATTGGGGGTTAATCAGAGGCACTTTAAAAGATGGCAGGTGTGTACTGACTCCCATTTAACATAATTTTGAATATGATTGCTTAACTTTGAACACTGCTGCATCCCCAGTTATAAGAGGGCGTGCACACTTATGCAACCACATTATTTTGGTTTATGCTTACTCCCCCCCTAAAAGATTTCAGTTTGTTTTTCAATTGAGTTGTACAGTTTATAGGTCACAATAAAAGTGGAAAAGGTTCTGAAATTATTTATCTTTGTCTCAAATTTTGACATCACCGAAACCTGACATTTAACAGGGGTGTGTAGACTTTTTATATCCACTGTATTTGGACACAGGCACAATTTTCATGCTTTTGGTTCTGTATTCAACCAGAATAAATTAAAACGAAACAATCCAAATTAATTTGAAGTGTAGACTTTCAGCTTTAATTCAAGGGGTTGAACATAAATATCAAGTACACATTTTAGAAACTGCAACCATTTTTATACAGAGTCCCTCCATTTTCAGGGGCTCAAATGTAATTGGACAAATCAATATAATCATAAATAAAATGTTAATTTTTAATATTTTTTTGAGAATCCTTTGCTGGCAATGACTGCCTGAAATCTGGAACCCATGGACATTGACAAAGAATGCGTTTCCTCCTTTATGGTGCTTTCCCAGGCTCTAACTTCAGTTGTCTTCAGTTGTTCTTTGTGGGTCTTTCTGCCTTTAGTTTTTACTTCAGCATGTAAAATGCATGCTCAATTGGGTTGAGATCAGGTGATTGACTCGACCATTGCAGAATACTCCACTTCTTTTCCTTCAAAAGCTCCTGGGTTGCTTTTGCAGTGTGTTTTTGATCATTGTACATGTCCATCTGTACTGTGAAGCGCTGTCTAATCAATTTTGCTGCATTTGACTGAATCTGGGCTGATAGTATATCTCTAAACACTGCATAATTCATCTGGCTGCTTCTGTCACATCATCAATAAACACCAATGACCCAGTGCTACCGGAGGCTATGCATGCCCATGCCATCACACTGCCTCCATCATGTTTTACAGATGACATGGTATGCTTTGGATCATAAGCTGTTCCAAGCCTTCTTCACACTTTTTTCTTCCCATCATTCTGCTACACATTCATATTAGTTTCATCCTTCCAAAGAATGCTTTTCCAGATCTGGTCTGGCTTTTTTAGATTATTTTTTTTGGCAAAGTCTAATCTGGCTTTTCTATTCTTCAGGCTTATGAATGGTTTAAGAAAATTGTAATATATGGTAAATGATAAAGTGTAAACATATAGCAGTTGAACACTAAAAACCCTGATAACAGGCAGTAAACAATATATACATAAAGTGCAGCGCTTAATAAAGTGACAAATGATTAGTAAAAAAACAGTGAAAAATGTGTCATACAAAAAATAGTCCAAAAAATTCTGGTAAAGAAAGTCCCCAGAGGCTGTGATGAAACAAAGGAAATCCAAGGATAGTTGTTGTCACCAACCACTCATACAAAAGGCTTACAAGAAAGGCATGACCCCCTGTTAAGAGTCGTCAGTCACGATTTGTTGTAAACAGCCCAGAAAGCTGGACAACCGGATCCTCCAGATCACCAAAAGAACAAGTAAAGATCCTCCAAGCAATGGACCCTAATTAATGTAGCTACACCACTTCAGGATAAGATTCAGACTCGTGGTAAGAAACATGTAAAAAAAAAAAGAGTGCTCCACATAGTGTAAAACCATTAAGACAACATTTATTTGAAGTATGGTTGCACTCACATAAAGACGAACATCATGGAGCATTGATAGGCAAAAATTCCAAGTTTTCCAGTTTCCAAAATGGCCACCGGCTGTTTGCGCATGTGCAGTAGTGTGTGTGCGTGGCTCCGCCTAAGCGTGAACGGCTGGTGGCCATTTTGGAAACTGGACAATTTTGAATTTTTGCCTATCAATGCTCAATGATGTTGGTCTTTATGTGAGTGCAGCCATACTTCAAATAAATGTTGTCTTAATGGTCTTACACTATGTGGAGCACTCACCACACATACTGAACCAGTACACACACGCTGAAGCAGTGTTGTCACAATAGAAGGAGGACTCACCCCGGCCGTCTCCCTCAGCAGCCAGGCTCTGTTGCACGGAGTCCGTTTCGGGTGGAAGCTGTCCCCAAAGCGCCTGTGTACATGTCACCTCTCCTGTACACCTCCAGTCCACACCCCTCCTGTGTCGAGTTCTGCCTTCAGGACTCAACAATTGCTCCACGGAGCTTCTCACTTTAAATGCATTGCCAGGCAACCAACAGCTAACCGGCAACCCAAGGGTGGAGAGGAAGAGGAAGTCATGTGCATGCTAAGAGGAGGCAGGGAAAGGGTGGGCCCTGCAGGCTGAGCTGTCACATGTGACGACGTAGATGTTGTTAAAGGTTCAGGCTGATCGGCTAGGCAACCCCTGTGAAAGGGTTTGCGACCCACAGGTTGAGAAACGCGAATCTAGAGGAAGGCAAAAAAAACAAGAAAAACATGATCCAATTTGCTCCTGCAGGGGAAAAGGTTCCTTCCTGATCCCCCAAGAGGCAATCGGATTTTCCCTGGTTCAACTTTACCTATAATGTTAGTATCCAGTTATAGTCTGTGTATCCAAGAAAGAATCCAGGCCTTTTTTAAAGCAATCCACTGAGCTGCCCAGAACCAACTCTTGAGGGAGTCTTATTCCACATTTTCACAGCTCTTACTGTGAAGAAACCTTTTTGTGTTTGGAGATTAAATTTCTTTTCCTCCAGATGTAAAGAGTGACCCCTTGTCTTCTGTGATGACCTTCAGGGTGAATAACTCTACACCGAGTTCACTATATGAACCACTGATGTATTTATACTTGTTGATCATACCCTCCCTTAATCTTCTCTTCTCAAGAGAGAATAAATTCAGTTCCTCTAATCTTTCCTCATAGCTAAGCTCCTCCATGCATATCAGTTTGGTTGCCCTTCTCTGTACTTTCTCCAGTTCCCCAATGTTTTTTTCGTAAATTGGTGCCCAAAATTTAACTGCATATTCCAGATGAGGTGTTACTAATGATTTGTATAGGGGTAATATGATATCTCTGTCTTTGGAGTCTATACCTCTTTTAATACAAGAGAGGATTTTCCTTGCTAGAGAAATCACAGCTTGGCATTGCATGCCATTATTAAGCTTGTGATCTACCAGAACTCCCAGATCCTAATGAAGAACTTCAAATAGGATTTTGCTCACATTGTTCATCCTGTACATAGTCCAGTGTATCTATGGGATCTCCACCTAGTACTATCAAATCTTCTGAGACTTTGAGCCTATTAGGGATTTTCCTGTCTACCCTTTCTTTCAAGTTTTCCTTTCTCATCACTATCAACTCTGCGAGGTGAGCCTTTGAGTTGCGGACCTTAACCTGTAAAGAAGCCCTAAAGTTGTGCTATATAAGGACAAGGTTGCACAGGAGGAACAATGTGAGCATCACCTGTATGGAGGCCTACACAAAGTGAAGGGCAGGCAGCCTTTGAAAAAGAGGCTAGGGCCTCTTTCTTCCCAAGGTGGTTTTTACTTTCCACCTAACTAAGACATTTTCCTGCCATTTCTGTGTCTTGCTCCTAAGCACCCTAAGGAGATTTCCATCCATTGCCTGGATATAGTACATGCTGTTTATTTGCAACAACTCCCTTAAAACAGTCCAGCTTCAGGAATGGCTGTTTGTCATTGCATTGAAGGTCCCCTTCTGGGACAACCTGCTTCTCTTTAGGTAGTTTTGACTGCTCAGCATCACACGTTCGTTAAGTTTTACCAGGTGGGTATTCAGTTTGTGCCAGCATTGGTTGTAAGATTCTTCTGGTGGCTCTGTAAGCTTTTTTTGATCCATCTTTGGCAACCTGTTTGCTTTTAAAAATCAAATCAAAATATGTGGCCACGCCTTACTTGGCCTGCTTTTGGACCTTTCAATGTTCCTAAATATTTTCTCTGTAATGTACAATTAGGAAAACAGGATTTCCGTTTTACGTGTAAAATCCTTTTCTTGGCGTAAATTAAAGGACTCACTTCTATCATTACTTCCTACAAAACGGAGTCATGCTGGAAGTGGAAGGGACTATACTTGGCTGTCCTTTTTATAGCTTTACTTCGCAAGTGTCTAGTTTTCCTAAAGCAACAGTATAACCAAATTTCCTGAATACTTCTCTTCTCCTGAATACTTTGCTGTTACAGGTAAGACAATAAGAAAAAGGAACATTCTTAAGCAAATGGAATTGATGAATTCATCATGTGTCAAGATTTTTAAACCTTTTTGTTTTATTCATCATTTTAGGGAGAATAAAACCCTGAGATGTCAACTAGAACAAATGTTGCAGAAAATATCTCCCTGGGAACAAACAGAAGAAAAACTAAAATCTTTCAGACTGGAACTGGAAAAAAAGACCGTATGTTATATCTTTTAACCTTTTATTAAAAATATCCTCTTAAATGGCTAAACACAGAGCTGAACCACAAATGGCTAAATACATAGTTCAACTACATATATGGAGGCTGTTTTGTCAGCTTCATAATGGCACATGATTATATCACCCGAGGTATTCTCTATTTTCAAGAACATATGTTTAATTAGTAGATTCTTCAAAATCACACAGCTCTTTTTTGTTAGAGTGGGGAAGGACTCAAACCGCTGTTGGATTTTTACTGATATCTGGATTCATAGAGCTTTCCCTAGCTCACTGCCTTGGTTACAATGATTTCACTAGACAGGAAGAACGTCAGCACAGACAGATATACAGGGGTTAGACAAAAAAAAACGGAAAAACCACAGGATTTACGTTAAAAGCGGAAGTGATATAACATTTTTTTGCTTCCGCTGTGTGATGAGACACCTAGCTAACAGGTGGGAAGCCTCACATTCGTCATTCATTACATGAGCAGCTAGTAATACAGAGTCATGTCAAAAATAACTGAGCTTCAAAGAGGGCAAATTGTTGGTGCCCGCTTAGCTGGTGCCTCTATGACTGAAGTTGCCCATTTATTTGCACTGTCACGAGATACGGTATCAAAGGTTATGATGGCGTATACAGTTTCTTGGAAAACATTATCTGACAAGCAGAAGCGCGTTCGATATGGTCAACTAACGAAATGGACAAAAGGACATTGTGCAGGATTGTGACCCGGAATAAGAGAACTGCTGCAAAAGTGACTGCATGCAGAGTTTGCATTCACTTTTGCAGCAGTTGTGTAAAATCAATATCTGTTCATCTTGCCAAAAATACAGTGCTGTCTTGTGCACTCTGCAGTGTTTTCCCAAGCAATCCTGTCCATTTTGTGAGCTACAGGAAACCTCCCACGTGCCATAATGATGAGGAGAGGGAGAGGTGTTTAGTATTCCTAACATACTTTCTGTCCTGGAGGGACAATGCTACTTCTCTTTAGATGCAGTATAGTGAGTGAGCATTGACAGAGTATTCCTAGCAGGATCACAGGTGAAAATAATGGATAAAAGTCTGGGGAAAAAAAGAAAATTAATGCAGTCGCCAAATTGAACTGGTGGGCTGAGATGTATTAAAAGTTTGTTCTTTTATTTTGATTATACATTTAACAGTTAGAAACCTTGCAGATCCTAACCCTTCTCTACTCTTTCTAAAATGAAAAAAAGAAATGTCCTGATAGGAGTAATGGATTGTGATCTCGTTTAAGCAGGATGCTTGGTGTTTCTAAATTGTATCCCTATTTTACTTGATTCACAGCATTTTATATGTTTCTTCATGCCTTTTCTTCTGTATAACATGTTATGTTTTAAACTTTACAGTCTGCGCTAGACATTGTTCAGCAGTCTCAGCTGGAATATATCGGAGTGAAGAAAGAGTGCAAAAAGTGTGATATAGTGTATGTATTTCCTGCTTATTGTCTTGAAAAATGTACTGTTGTATTGGGCCTGATAAATGGAATTTACTTTACAAAAAACTGTCCAAATACAAATATGGAAGCTGCTAGTGCTGACTTTTGTGAATGTACATAATCCAAGGCTGTTTTCGTTAACTCTGCTTTATTATTTAGTGAGCTGATGACCTGGGTCAAGCATGTGCATATTGGGTGTCACAAAGTTGTTCTTCGTCAGATTAAAGCTCAAGTACATTTTCAATTTAAATCTGCTAATTACATTCCGAGTGCATGAAAGCAGGTTTAAAATCCTTATAGTGCATTTTCTTTAGAAAGCAGCCACAACCTTTGTAGAAATGCATGTCCCCTGCCAGCATGCTGCAGAGAAGGATCATTGTTCTCTGCGTGGAAGCAGAGGTCCAACACATCTCCTTTTTGGCAGAGCTCTTGAACTTCTCAGTCAGCAGGTAAGCAATAAGAGTTTTATAGGTTTATACAGATCCAATATCAAAAAAGGGTGTGTTGTACCTCTGCAGAAAGGCCAATCCTGTGAGCATGTTTCTTTCCATGCAGCATGCAAGGACATGCTTTTACATTCAGGCTGTGACTTAGGTGTCTGTGATAAAGGAATTATAAGACTTTGAACACCTTTTTTGTTTTTTGGTCAACATTTTAAAACCTTATATTCATTTCCACATTTAATTTACATAAGTTGTTTCTTTAGGAAAATCCAAAAGGAACTGTTCAAGGCTAAACTGAACTGGGATTTGAAATCTGTCTTGGGTGGGATCCCTAACCTATGTGTCTGGTATAATTCTTGGGTATTCTAAGAACCTGAAATTGCACTTCCGATTATTGTCTTATCCTTAACCATACAGTACTATGTACAAGGTAGTGATAGATGATGGACCTCTTCTCCCTCATAAAGAAGTTTCTATGCTTAACTAGTACTTATTTAATTATAATCTTCTACCAACACTTCACTGCCTTTTAACAATAAAACCTGTGCATCCTTGGTAAAACCTTTGGAAGTATACCTGGACTTCATGCTGTGGATACTGCTTGGGTGCTCCCCTTAGCACTATGCATGTACTGTAGTTAACCACAGGGTGCTATACAGGTACAGGGCTGTGATCAATTGCTATGGTTCCCAGACCCTGAGGACTCCTCTGGGGGTATGTCCTATTTAGGAACCAGCAACATGCAAAGGTAAGACAGGTTTGTCCTGTTATAGAACTGTTACTGTAATCCTATAGAAAGTATGAGTTTTAATATCTCCACTACTTGCTGTACACCTAGGTGTTGCATCGCAGCAAAGGCTGCAATATTTTCATCACTTCTGCCCAGTGCCCCTAGAAAATACTTGGGTACTTTCTTCTCCCCTGTTGGCAAGAGGACTTCGCTACGGAAGGGTTGACACCTGGGTTGCTGTGTATCCTGCTCTGGACATGCTTACCCCATTTCTGCACTCTGCTCTGTGAGTGTTCCACAGTGGAATATCTCACTGATGGCAATGGTGGCAGCCAGACGCAAGGGAATCGTGGCAAGAGATCAGGCAGAAAAACGCTCTGCCAATAGGCTGCAGCGTGACGTTTCTTTCCTTGCACTGGTGTAGGACCCTATTTCAACACCGGTTTCTGCATCAGATTCTAGCTCTGTCTCAAGTGGTCTATCTGACCATGGCAGATTTCTGTGCAAATGTGACAGAATTTTTCAGACAACGAACAACCATTTTTCAGTCTTGTCCAGAGCCTAAAGCACCAGTCCTATTATATACTCACTTGGCCACTTTATTAGGTACAACTTGCTATTACCGGGTTCGACCGCCTTTTTCCTTCAGAACTGCCTTAACTCTTCATGGCATCGATTCAACAAGGTGATGGAAACATTCCTTGGAGATTTTGGTCCTTATTGAGGTAATGTTGCCTTTCTATAATCTTGAACAGGTCTGCCCATCCTCCTCTGACATCAACAAGGCGTTTTCGTCCACACAACTGCTCACTGGATATTTTCTTTTTCTCTGACCATTCTCTGTAAACCCTAGAGATCGTTGTGCATGAAAATCCCAGTAGATCAGCAGTTTTTTAAATACTCCTAGCCCGTCTGGCATCAACAACCATACTACAATCCAAGTCACTTCAATTCCCTTTCTTCCCCCATTTAGATGATCAGTTTTAACTTCAGAAAATTGTCTTCACCATGTCTAGATGCCTAAATGTATTGAGTTGCTGGCATGTGATTGGCTGATTAGCAATTTGTGTTACCAAGCAATTGAACAGGTGTACCAAATAAAGTGGCCATTGAATGTATCTCCACCTACTCTACCTGAGTCGGAAGTGGAACTACCTCCCTTAGAAGAGGTAGACATGGAAAACTTTGAAGAAGACCCTGAGGTGGTGTTGAAGGATATCCCATAAGATTTCTCACCCTCATACACATGATGCTATTACTTCATGCAATATGCTTGGCAGTGTCTGCATTCTCTCCGCTGCTGTGCCCAAATGCCTTAGTATAGTTGCACTTGGTTTTCTTCAGTCTAGCCTACCCCCTCAGGGTACTAAGGAACCTGCAAAGACATTCTTCATTGATGAACACATAGAATGTCAATTGATAATGATTGGGTTTCTCCTGAAAAGGTTTTCACCCCTCTGAGAATCCTTGCCAAACTGTCTTGTTCTGAAACAAACCTCTTACTGTGCCTATAGAAGATGTTTCTTCATTTAAGTATTTTGCAAGCAGAAAATCTGAGACACTTGTAAAGGCTTTCTTTACTCATGCAGGTCCAGCTATGCAACCAGCTGTTGCTGTAATTTCTGGTGGAACACTTACAAACACTGCCTTCTGCCTGTATGATGTGTGTGTAGAACAAATAATGACACGCATTTCCAGAAAATGGCCCTCATTTCTGTTCATGTGCACGGAATCCTACGGTTGAAAGCCAGGTTAGCTTCACGGAGGAAGTCTCTGGGGAGGAACTTGACAAGCTCGTAAATGAGGAAAGGTCCTTCTTCCACAGCAGAAGGCTCCCTAAACCCCCCTCTTCAAGTGCCTCTAGCGTCTTAAAACGCAGAGCTTCACACTGTTTTCCTAAGGCTTAATCCTCAAAGCCAAAATTCAGCTGTTTCGGTATAAACACAAACACCTCTCTCTTCAATGAAGGGGTACCCTCTCTCCTTAAAATGGTGGGACATTTGTTGCATTTTGTATTCCTCTGGGTCAAAGACGTATGGGTCGGTGGTCACAAATGGGTACAAATAGTTTCCAACTCTATTCCCTCACCGTTTTCTCTCAAAGAAAAATTTGCCAAGGACATTCAGATTTAAAAACTGCCCTTTACCATCTCTTGGGCCATGGAGTGGTTGCTCCAGCCCTCTGGAGGACAGGATCAAAAGATTCTATTCAAACCGGTTTGTGATACCAAAATCCAGTGGGGGGTGTTTGTCCTGTCCTGTGCCTAAAATGCATTCACAAGTTTTGATTGGAACCTGCAAGATCAGTAAGTGCCTCTCCAAGGCAAGGGTATTATTTGGCATCACTAGACATTCAATATTGCTACCTCCATATTCCCATTTACCACCTCATCAGCGATTCGCAGTAGGAGACAAACGCTTCCAATTTTTTGCACTGCTGCTTACCTCTTCCTGGTGGGGTTGTCATGGGCATTCCGCATTCAATTGTCTTGTTACTCCGCTTTGTAAGGTCACCACCTAATCTTCAGTTTATACATTCTCTGAATTCTACCAATATTACACTAAGTTTTTTTTTTTTTTTTTTTTTAGTGCACACAAACAAAATATATTACCTATTTTAGTTAAATATAGATGACGAGGTTGTGTTGAGTAAATCGATGCCAAATATGTCAAGCATTACAATAGTGTGCACTCCTGTGGAACAATAATAAAATAGTGTGCACTCCTGTGGTATCTAAAACTGCTAACAGGCAATGCTTTAAAAGCCCTTACAGGCCACCCATCTAGATTTAATCATACAGGATGGCCCTAGAATTATTGCTCTTACTTACAGCATGCACAGCAATGCCTAATGTGTGGTGCAGTCGTCATTTTCCTACATAAGTGCCCTGAAGCATGTGATTATGTTGGGGGTGGGGGTTTTAGCAAGCTTTTGGTCTTAATTGATTTTAATGTAACTTTTTTTTTTTTCTATCACATAAGGAACTGACAAGCCCTTATAGCTGTTTATTTTTTAGATGCATTTTGGTGCGTTTTTTGATGCTTTTTTAATTTCATGAAATAGTTTTTGTGTTATCTTGGCTTGTATTCCTTTCTAAACGCATCTTAAACTCGCCATGGATGCATTTTGACGTTTGTGCAGTGCGTTTGCAGCATGTCTACTTTGACATCAGTGGAAGTGGCAGAGCCTAGCAAAGGACACATGTTGGGTCAATTTTGATGCAATGCAAAAGCAACCATGGCGTACTCAGGCGAAGATACATTTAACCCCCCCCCCCCCAATCGCCCTCCCTCCACCCTCTCCACAATGTAATGTGTAAGCATTCCCTTCTCACTGGCTACAGTATGGGCAGCAGGCAGGTGAGACAAACTTAAGCTTCCACGCTGCGCCCGGTAGGAGAGAAGGCGCAGTGTTAAGGAATAGAAGACAGGTATTTTAACAACTTGATTACCAGAGCTATTTTAAAGATTTTTGTATTTAGGCTTTAAGACTACTTAAAAATCCCAAAACAAAGAAGACACCGTAAAGAATAAAAAGTTGGTAGTTAATGTTACAAGATATTAGCACAGTGGTTTATGAAAAGCTTAAATGCAATTTATTACCCAGTTTTCAGTAAAATGTAAAAGACGAGGTTGTGTCCAGTAAATAGATACTAAGCATGTCAGACTTTAAAAATGCATGCACCTGGGAAACGGTGAAAATTTTCAATACCCTATATTTATATTCAATACCCTAAAAGCCCCTACAGGTCATCAGTTTAACAACTTGTCTACTGAGCAGTTATACCCCCTTCGTGCCCAGGCCAATTTTCAGCTTTCAGCGCTGTCACATTTTGAATGACAATTGCGCGGTCATGCAACATTGCCCATATGAAATGTTTATTATTTTTTTTCACACACATAGAGCCTTCTTTTGGGGTTTTTTTTTTTTTTGCACTATAAACAAAAAATGTGAAAAAAATTTTCTTTGTTTTTATTATAAAATTTAGCAAACCGATAATTTTTGCTGATGTGCGTTGATGAGGCTGCACTGATAGGCAGTACTGATGGGCGCTGACTGACGGCACTGCTGGGTGGCACTGCTGGGAGGCATTGCAGGGCACTGATCATCCGTGCAGTTCTGCTCTGTGACAACTGCCGGTTATCGGCAGTACTTTCTTTACTCTGTACAGGAAAACTGGAAACTGTATTTACTCCATGATCTGCTGTGTCCGTAGGACACAACGATCATGGAGATCGCTGGGTGTGCGCCGCTGGGGTGCGCGGGAGGGCTTATTCTGAGAGGACATCATATGACGCCCTCTCAGAACTGGATAACCATGCTGTAGCCGTCATTCAGCTATAGCGCGTTTACCAAGTGGTTAAAGTAATGCAGGAACTCTGGTGCTAAAATTGTTCTCACTCCAATGTGTGCGGTTTCCTGTGTAGGCACCCAACGCAAGCATTTTTGTATGCAGAATTATTAAATATCTGAATCCTCCACAAATGGCTGGGGATTCAGATTGTACTGCCCCACTCCCCACCAGCTGGCGCCATAAGGCGATTGCCTAAGCCACCTTATGGTTGCACTGGCCCTGTCTGCATATTTAAAGACTTCTAGGAAGGCAGATAATAGAATATGAGAAATGGTGAGCAGAACACCCCCAAGTTGCTATATTTAATAGCCACTTGCCGACCACGATATGCACATATACATTGCTGTTGGCAAATAGTTTACCAAGGTTGTGGATGAAGATATCAGCCATAACCGCAGTATTTATTTATTTTTATAGCCGTGGCCGGCTTTCTCATGAAAGCGGCTCATTAGTCACTGAATCACTCTCAGTAGCAGCTGGCGGGGACGTACCCCCCTCGGTGTTTCTGAGGCTTACAGTTTTTAACTGACTTGCCTGAGATACGATCCAACGGTGTGGCCAGCTGGTCAGAGGCGATGAGAGACTCGATTGTCCCTGATCGCCTCTATGGCCTTGAAAGACCAGAGCTATGTCATGACACCTCAATTTCGGTCCGGGGTGGATATAGACAATTTTTTTATTTTTTTTTGTGGACCTGTCATACTTACTTGTATTACATGGGATGTTTAATCCTTGTAATATGAATAACAGTGTTAAAGTGTAAAAATAAAAAATATTTATACATTTTGAAAAAATGAAAACGCCCCCATTCCTGCGTGCTTATGCGCAAAAGTGAGCGCATACGCAAGTTGCACATGCATATGTAAACGGTGTTCGTAGCACACATTAGGTATCGCTGCAAACATTAGAACAAATGCAATAATTCCATGGCTAGACCTCCTCTGCAACTCTATTCAGGTAATCTGTAAAAAAATTTAAAGCGTCGCCTATGCCTATGGAGATTTTTAAGTACCATAGGTTGTCGCTATTCCATGAGCATGCGCAATTTTCAATTTTGACAAATAAAATGTTTTTGTAATTCATTAAAATTGAATTTTTTCCAAAAACATTGTGTTTGGGAAACTGCTGCGCAAATACCATGTGACATAAAAAAATGCAACTATTGCCATTTGATTATCTAGGCTCTTTGCAAAAAAAAAAAAAAATAATGTTTGGGGATTATAAGTAATTTTGTAGCAAAAAAATACTGATTTAAACTTGTAAACAAAAAGTGCCAGAAAATGATTGGTCTTCAACTGGATAGATATTTTGTCAGTTTGTAAAGATCGTAGCTGGCTGCAGATTGAAATGGAAGGTAATTTTCTTAACAAAAAAAGATTCCTTTTAATGTCAAAATTACAGTTGTTATTGCAACCCTTTACTGTTTTATATTGAACTATACATTGTCTCTTTTTGTTTAAATTTTTGTTAAATGTATTAATACACTGTTACTATTTATAGAAAAAAGAAAACATCAGGCAAAATTAAAGAAATCTGAAGGTAATGTCTGTCTCCTTTTTATAGATGGTTTTTTTCATCTATACTTTTCTCGTCTATGTCCATTTCATACATATTTGTATATGATTGATACATTTATCACTTTATGGATAGTTTTCTCTCCAGTGTAAACTGCATATATATTTATGTAAGATATAAACACGTATAACTATGTTGCAGTCAGCTGTTGCTTGAAATTACGAATTCTTTATATATGACTGAATGTATATTAACATTGCTTACTGTATTCATTTCTCTGGTATCCTAATTGTAATAATAGCTGTTTGTTGAAAAAATGTTTGTAACTGTTAGGATAACTTTATTCTTTTCAAAAAAGTAAGTATGTGTTCTTCCCGCCACTGCCATTTAAAAAATTGCCATAGTTTAAAACCTTTTCAAGACCGCATTACCTATGTATGCGTTGCAGTTTTGAAGTGGTATAGCAAGGTTATGGCTGCAGCTGGATGCCATAACCCTGGTATTAAACATTTTCCTCAGTCGCTGCTGTTTCTACTAAAAGTAATCCAAGCAGCTGATTAGGTACTGGATCACTTTTAGAAGCGGCTGGGTGGGGGCGCCCCCACCGCTTTCCAATGGTTTTTGGGCTTACCCGCCTGACTAGTGAGCACAAGAACCAATCCGGCGATTCCAGCGGCTGGACATAGAGATTAGCTGAGGAAAGATGGCGTCAGTTAACCTCTATGACCTAGGAGGACCGGAGCAACATCATGATGTCACTTCCAGTTGAATGTAAATATGGGCATTTTTTTTAGATATTAGATCAATGTTTTTTTTACTGATCTAATGATTTTCATTGCAGAGGAGAGATGTGGGGTCATGATTTATTGTTATCACAATGGATATTGCGATGTTTAATGTCTTCCGGTCCGCCCAATCTACATTGACTGTAGACAGAAAGCAGCACTAATGCAGGCAGATGGTCCTGAATGTCAGCCTGCATTGATGGCTAGTGCGCACCCCGGAGTCCAGTGATCAGTGTGTCACCCGGATCACATTACTGCTGTGTCGCTGCCATACCCCACACTAGCGTCCTGATCACCCCCATAACCTATAACAGCGTTCTGATCACTGCCATACCACACACCTGCGTTTTGATCCCCATACCAGCATCCTGACCTCTGCCATACCCCATACCAGCATCCTGATCACCCCCCTACCCCATACCAGCGTCCTGATCACCGCCATACCTCATGCTAATGTCCTGATCATCACTATACCAGCGACCTGATCACTGCCATATGCCATACCAGCATCTGGCATTTTAGGATCTCAGCTGATCATGTTTCAACTATATATCCCATAGATTTTAGATTCTATAGCTTTCACACAGCCTAAATAATATAAACTGTTTTGGGTTATTTTTACCCCAAAAATGTAGCAGATCATTTTTCTTCATAAATTTAGGCCAAAATGTATTCTATTTGCAAAATTTTATAACAAAAACTAAGCAAACAACAATTTTTTTTCAAAATTTTCGGTATTTTTTTCATTTGCGTAGCAACAAATAAAACCCAGTGGTGATCAAATACCACAAAAAGAGAGCTCTGACTGTCTCAAAAAAAGGATACAAATTTCGTACAGTGTTGCATGACTAGTAATTGTCGCTCAAAGTGTTATATTGCTGAAAGTTGAAAATTGGCCTGGACTGGAGGGGGGGGAGGGGGGAAGTGTCTGGACTTGAAGTGGTTAAAAAAAAAAAAAATAAAGGGAAAGTGCAAAAAAAAAATTTAGTTTAATAAAAATTTTAAAAAATGAAAGGGCCCTCATCCCCCCGTGCTCGTGCACAGTGACACACACGTAAGTAGGTCACGCTCACGTGTGTAAGTGATCACCCCACATGTGTGAGCTATCACCATAAATGCCAGAGTGAGAGCATTAATTCTAGCACTAGACCTCCTCTGTAACTCTAAACTGGTAACCTGTAGAGGCTTTTAAAGATTTGCCTATGGAGATTTTTAAGTACCATAGTTTGGCGCCATTCCACAAGAATGCACAATTTTAAAGCATGACATGTTAGGTATCTATTTACTTGGTGTAACATCCTCTTCCAATTGTTAAAAGAAAATGGGGTTATATGGTGGTTTTTTGTTTTTTTTTTCTTTTTTGCAAGTGTATTTTTTCTAAAAAAAAAAAAAAAATGCATTTGAAAAACCGCTGCGCAAATCCCATGTGACATAAAAATTGCAATGAACACTATTTTATTCTGTAGAGGCTCTGCTAAAAATATATATAATGTTTGTGGATTCTAAGTAATTTTCTAGCAAAAAATAATTTTTTGTGTGCAAACAAAAAGTGCCAAAAAATACTTTGGTTTTTTTTTTAAGTGGTTAAATAATTTTTGCAGCAAGCACATGTGTAGTGTTTTGCAATATAAATATTTTCCCTTGTGTCTGGTTTCCAGGAAACTGATTTTAGAAGGCATACTGGATTTAACCAGCATAGGAAAAATAAGTAATAGGCCCAAGTGCAGAGTTGGGAAAAAAATACAATAGAATCTGCAGATTGCACAGTCTTGCAGGTCCTCAGTTGGTTGCTTCCTTAAATAACGCACTACAGAACCTAAAAGAAAAAAATCTGAGACTGGCAAAAAAAAAATGAAAGGATAAAATTGCCAAAATAACATGCCATTGGAGGGTAGACCACCCCCTGGAGTGGAGTTTTTTTTTTACCACCCCCTTACGCTGCAAAGGCAGCTGTATGGGGGTATACACCTGCTCTGGCTGTGATGCTTTGCAGTTGCAGCATGGAGGGGTGGGCTTTTATGGGTAAATACAGGCAGCATAACACCTTATCGCCACCTGTCATATGCGCTCTGAAAAGCTATCCACTACAGATTGCTCTTCAGAGGGCGACACATGTATAAACAAGCCCTTAACTTGTTTTGCCAATGTCCATTCTCCTGATGCATAAATGTATGTACCGTATATTTTTTTTGATTATCATGAATGTTGATGTGTAGAATGTTTAGATATGTGATTCAATATCCAGAAAATATTATATGAACATGATGGTATTTGTGTGTGAATTGATAACCAGGAAACATTTTGATTTATTATTTTTTTAAGAGTTTGCATCAAAGCATATCAAACGTGTTAAAAAGTTGCAACAAGAGAAGAGAATCATTGAGAGGGAACTAAAGAAAATGCAGGTAAAATGTGCATGTGCTAACTTTTTTTTTGTTTAGCTTTAATCTTTGTGTTGTCCTTAGTAGCTAAACTGACAGATGAAAGCAGTAACCTTTACTTTCGTTTACAGAAAAAACTTGGTGATGTCCAGAATAAAAGTAAGACAATTTTAATATTTTTCCTTTTTATGTATGTATTTTGTTGGTTAGCTGTTAATCTTTTTACACTCTCTTCAGCCATGAAAGATGCACATACCCAAGTTGCAAAAGATCAACCAATTGCGAAGTTAGATAAAAGTAAGTTATAGATCATGAATATATTTTGCTTATTAAAAGGAAAAATTGCATAATGTATATGTGGCATTGAAATGGAACCTAGACTTGTGTAATAAGTAGTGTAAAGGTAAAAAAAAAAACCAGTATTTTTCTAATCTATATTCTGATACACTTGGCTTCTATTTGATTGGCTAACATTGCCAGCACTGTGATTTTTCTTTAAAAATTGTCTTCCCATCTTGGCAAGATATCGGTTAGTGTTTGATTGGTAGCTCCAGGCATCATTATGTAGACAGTGCATGGCAGTACAAGGTGAGGTGCCATAATTAAAGTGTATTTATAGCCATTTTTAGCTTTAAATAAAGTGTGGAGCAAAGAGGTTATAACCTCAAGTTGCTATTGCTCCCAGGTTCCTGTGTCCCTTCTGGAAAATGCATTATCTTTATGGAGACCTTTGTCACTGGGACAGAAAGCGATCAGAAATCTGATATGTTAGTGGGTTTGAAAGTGAAGAGGTTATTAAAGTTAAAGTCTTGTACAATAGAATAAATATTTGAAAGTGATGATTGTATTGTCAGATGAAAACTGTACTGATTAACCAGTTGCCCTCCAGAGGATTTACCCCCCTTCCTGACCAACCCATTTTTTGCGATACAGTGCTGCGTTACTTTCACTGACAATTGCGCAGTCATGCAACGCTGCACCCAAATTAAATTTACGTCCTTTTTTCCCCACAGATAGAGCTTTCTTTCAGTGGTATTTGATCGCCTGTGCGGTTTTTATTTTTTGTGCTATAAACAAAAAAAGATTGACAATTTTGAGAAAAAAAACAGTATATATTTTTTTCTTTGCTATTCAACGTGTCCAGTAAAAAATGTTTTAAAAATCGAATTTCGTAACAAATTTAGGCTAAAATGTATTTTGTGACATGTCTTTGCTAAAAAAAAATCTGTATACATGTAAATTAATTGGTTTACGTGAAATTTATAGCGTTTACAAATGGCGCTATGTATACTGGACTGTGGGACTGCGCCGGGCATTCTGACACTGGTGGAGGGGAACTGACTTGGTGTCACTGACATCCCCAGTGACACCAATATAGTGATCAGTGCTAATAAAAAGCACTGACACTCTACTAATGGCACTGGGCAGAAAAGGGTTAGCATGTGGGGCGATCAAAGGGTTAACTGTGCTGTTTTACTGTGAGGCTGTGTTTCAATGTAAGCACACTGCTTTGTATGGCTCTGCTATGCAGAGCCATACAAAGCAGTGTCCAGGAGCTGACGGGAGAGATCTGTTGTTTATACACAAGACTCTCCCCCATTGCAGATACTCTGCGATCACCGGGTGTCGGCGAGAAATCACTGGTTGGGACCCGGTGACTTACAGCCGAGGCTGCGTAGGAAGTGCACGCGGCCTCTACCAAGAATGGCAAAATCAGGTGTATATATATATATATATATATATATATATATATATGTGATTGTGCGCACCCATGCCGCCCTGTAACAATATTTCTGCTATAAGGCAGCACGGAAGCAGTTAAACGAAAATCGTACAATCTGGTATTGTACAAGAAACATTTTTGTGCTTGTCCCTTCAAATAATTTCGGACGATTTTCTGATTGTGTGGGAATTTGCTCGTTTTGCAGAGTTTTCCAAATACTCACTGTTGTATTTCTGGGACAGACAGTAAAAGGGCCCAGAAATTAAGAAAAAGCTACGTGTTTTAACCTTCTCGCTAACCAAGTCTTTAAAAAAGTTTCAGCTTTATATACTTTATCAAAAACAATGCAAATTTTTTTTTCTCTCCTCCTAAATACTAAACATTTGTTAAATGGGATACCTGTGTTATCAGCATTTTTATTAAATAGATGTGTAGACTCCTGGCTTATTTGCTAACTTCTTGTCTCACTGTGCTACATCCATTTTTTTTTTTTTTGTATAATCTGTCTTTATTAAAGATTTTCCTGACAAAGGATAAAGCAATTGTGAAGACAAAAACTTGTAGTAACACATAGACAAGATAACCTTTTTGAGCAAGCAGGACCCACAACAGGCCCTGCGTACAATGATGTATTACAAATGCAGATCGAGCATACGGTACAATACAAATGTCATGCCACGTACCCCTCGCCCACCGTCAAGGCAGCGAGAACCAGCACAAGACTCATCGCCAAGGGACCCGGCTGCAAGGCAGGAGCTACGTCTCTGCCTCATAGTCTGGGCCATGCCTAGTCTGGGTCTGGGCTCATGAGGCCAGCCAGTCTCTGGGTGATAGATCAAGCGTGCTCCCGTAACATTCCACGTTTCAACTTAAGGCAATTGAAGTGACAATATTTAGCACGTAGGGCATTGGCATAAAAACAGCACTCATATGCAAGATGGCAAAGACACGGAGGTATAGAGATACAAGATAAGGAAAGAAAAGACGAAAAAAAAAAAAAAAGAGCTAGGCCCTGTAGGGCCAGAGGAAAAAAAAAAGGATAACACAGGTCTTCAAGGGCTGGACACGCGGGGTCAAAACAGGAGAGAGGCAAATCAGGAGAAAGAACCGGAAAGAAACCCAGTGCACGTTGGTCAAATGGCAAAATCACCGGGCCCAGACCTACAGAGTAGAACCAGCTAGGGGGAAGATCCAGGGGCCAAGGTGGGGATCAAAAATCATGGGGAACCCGTTCCTGGAGGATGGTCAACTGGATCTTCTAGTTCCATAGAGTAGTCTAAGGGTATGTCTGGAATTTCTGAAGCTCGTTTTTAACAGTATAGATCCAGCGTCCAGCTTCATAGATACTATCAACCTCTCACTTCCACTCCGCAACAGTAGGGCACTGGTTCTGCCTCCAGAGGAGTAGTATTACGCTCTTAGCGGCATTCAATAGGTGTGGGGTAACACTACGTTTGTAAATTTTAATAGAAGAAGGGGTGCCATGGAACAGGTAGGGCAGAGGGGTGAAATCAATAGGTTGAAGGGTTGTTCTCTGAATCCTGGGGGAGACAGCCCTCCAAAACCTTTTGAATCTTGGGGCAAAACCAGCAAATATACAAGAAAGTGCCCTCTTGAGGGCATCCCCGCCAACATCTGTTATCAGCCCCAGGGAAAATCTTAGCTAGCCGGGAAGGTGTCCTGTACCACCAAGACAAAAACTTATAGCATGATTCTTGCGTTTTGGAACTGATGGAGGAGACATGGGTCATCTGAGTGATTTTACGCAATTGAGGGGGTTCTAGGTCGAAACCCAATTCAGCCTCCCATTCTCGTATATAATAGGGTGTCATCTGAGAAAAAGTGGACAGTAGGAAGCAACCTCTGAAAGACATCATATATCTGACGATTATGCCAAAAATCTATAGGGAATGACCCAAAGGGCCTACGCAGGCAATCTAGTGGCAGCAGACGCCCAGATGGGGCCAAGTTCTGACATCTGACAAACACCACTCCACCCCATACGTTAAAAAAGGATGCATGTTCGCCACACAGAAACCAAGGGAAACCCCCTAGCGGAGCAAGGGGCGAAGTCGGAGGGGAAAGGCCAACCTATCTATTAACCTGATCCCAGACCTGCAATGTGTTAAGCTTAACCGGACTCGTCAAACTTGATAACTCAAGGAATCCAAGGGGCTTCAGCCAGATTCCCACCGGCTATACACTTTTCCAAAGGGCCCCATACTTTTTCTGCACCATGTGTCCAATTTAAAATATGAACCAGGGCCATGGCTTTATAGTAGAGGGATACATCTGGATCTCTGAGGCCCCCATCCTCCTTGCGCCTGTGGAGGAGTGAGAACGCCAGTTGAGGTCTCTTCCCCTGCCAAATAAAAGTTGTAAACAATCGACGCAAACGGCTAAAAAATATCGGTGGGAGATGGATCGGGATCGTCGAGAGTAAATACAAAATTTTCGGCAGAATTGTCATTTTATTAATGCGGCCTAACCATGTAAGGGCCGTATCATGCCAAGTGCCCAGGTCCCTCTCCACCCCTTGCAGCAGTACCCCATAATTTTCCGAATACAACAATTTGGGGTCCAGAGAGATCTGGGTACCCAGGTAAGTCAACTTGTGGGGCCGCCATACACATTGTAAATTAGCCTTCAGTGAATGTGCAAGATCCGGTGAGATCGTGACCGGTAAAATCTCAGACTTCGCATAGTTAATGCTGCTTGAGGTGATTGTAGCCGTATTAGTGCACATGCGACAGAATTGTGTACTGTCCGTGATACTTTTTTTATTTGCACTAACATACAATTTTGAGGACAAGCTTCCAGCTGCCTCTGGCCTTCTTGTATATATTTGTTTGTATCCATCACAACAACTGCTCCCCCTTTATCCGTTGGTTTGATGGTGATGGCCTGATTATTGCGCAAATCATGTATAGCTCTTCGCTCTAGATAACTTTTAAAGATAACTTTTGCACACCTGTGGGACACTATTTCGCACAACCAGACCACACTTTGGGAGACCTCAATGTTTTAGTTCTGAAAGGAAATTTCAAATCTATTCAGGAAAGAAAAACTTTTGAACGAAGAATGATAATTCTATTTCACACAAGAGATAAGGGCCTTAATTTGGACATGGGATCCCTCACTCATTATCCGACATTTTTATGACTCTCTCTGTGATTGTTGTGTGTCGCCCCCCCCCCCCCCCCCCCCCCCCCCAGTATTTGGTTTTGCTTTGCTATATCTTATCTCTAGGTTAACCCTAGGCTTGTGTTTCTGCTTTTTTTTTTTTTTTTTTTCTCTCATCTCCAACTTCTAACATTCTGCTAAAACATTCCTGTCGCAAATGAACTAATACGGCTACAATCTCCTCATGCTAAAACATTGTAATGGTACTGCTCGGACCTTGAAGAAGGGGACATACCCCAAAAGCTTGTCCTCAAAATTGTATGTTAGTGCAAATAAAAAAGTATCACAGACAGTACTCAATTGTTTCCATAGTTAATGCTAAAATTTGAGAGGGTGCCATACCTGGGAAACATTGACCTTAGCTCTAGCTTCAGGTTCAGCATACAGGGTC